AAAGACAAGCAAGTTCGAAGAGAGCGCGAGCGCGAGCGCGAGCAACAAGTTTGAGAGAGTAAAATTCCCTTTTTGTTTGTTCGCGCTCGAACTTGGCTGCGCGAGAGATATGCTTGAGAGAGTAAAATGCCCGCGTTGGGGCTTATGGGTATTTTTATCAGCGGTGCCTTGAAGATTTTAGTTTAAAGAATACAACGAATACAACTGGAGCTAATTTAAAAGTGTTTGCCTTTAATTTTACCGTAAATATGTGCATGGCCAATATGTAAGTTTAAACTTAGAAAATCGGCCCAAAATGCTCTGACTAAAATCGAAGCACCCGAAAGTAGACAATGCTTTTGGAGACCCACTTCGAACATGTTTGAAATGTCCCAGAGTCATGTGATCTAGCGGCGGGAATTTCCCATTTGAGCTGCCGCTTGCGCATGCGAGCCGCGCCGCTTCGGCGGGGAAATAACGCTCGAAACGTGTCAGTCGAGAGAGCGAAAGAGCGAATGTCCCAGGGCGAGCTGCCGTTCGCGCTTGCGAGCCACTTCGAGGGGAAATTGTGGTCGCTGCCTGCGTTATTACCGCTCAGTTGACGCCGTTGCGCAGTCGCCGTTGCCGCAGCTCAAAAATACAAAATAAAAAAAAAAAACAATCATTTTTTTGTGTGCATCTGAACTGTGTGTAAAAATTGTGCATGAAACTATTAGTCCAGCATCCAGCGAAGTACTTTTGGACTGCCAGTGCTGCGCTTTTGAGTGTCTATGTTTTGCGTGACATCAAAAGCAAGAAAACTAAAAAAAAAAATAAAACAACTTAAGCTTTTCCTCAACACACACAACAACAACGAAAGCCACCACGAATAAAGTTTAGTTAAGTGAACGCAAACAGGTGCAAAAAGAAGAACAAAAAAAAAGTGGCAGAGGCGTAAGAAGAAGAACCAGAAGTGGAGGCAACACAAAAAATAGAAGCAGCAGCAGCAGCAGCAGCAGCAGCCGTTGCCCAAGAAGTGTAAGCGAAAAAGGGTTGACGATTGTCGCAACACTTCCCTTTCGGGCTTCTTCTTGCGGAAGTTGCAAGTGGCAACAACAACAGCAACAGCAACCATGCGCTGATCTCACAGCACGGGGAATACCCTTTTTTAAGCATTCAATATGGATACGGTGGCCATTAAGACGGCACTGCCGCATGCCCCACTGGCTGCCCAACAATTGCTGCTACAACAACAGCAACAGCAACAGCAACAACAACCATTGACTGTGCAGACTGCAACAGCCACAACAACAGCCACAATCAATGCCAAAAACAACATTGGGGCATTCTTTCAGACGTGCAAGGTAAGAGCTAGGAAAAGCCCCAGAACCACAACCAGAACCGAAATCATCAAAGGTCAGCGGGGTTCAAGTGCCGCTCTGCAAGCGCGAGTAAGCCATCAGCCGCTGTGGCTATAAAAAAAAAAGCATTTTCACGAATATTTTTAACTGTCAACTGCGACAACGGCAACGGCAACGGCAACGGCAACCTTTGCCCTGACACACACACACACACACACTCCCTCCCCCACGCGACTGCAGTTGACGAATGTTAGAAACGAAACGCCAAAGAAATGAAATAATTGTCCCTGTCCCCGAGCCACGCGGCATGCGGCATGCGTGGGGGTATGGATTTTCCCCAGAAAGGGAATCTCATTTGAAAGCACTGTACCTGTGCTGCGCGGGCAGTGATTAGGTAAATCAGAAAAGAGTTTCCAAGAAGCGCAGGGCACACATTTGCCTAATAAAACGGCTCAAGGGAAAGGGATAGGGCGAGGGCAGAGCAGGGTTAAGGCAGGGTTGAGGCACAGGCCACACAGAGATGCAAATGTGGATGGCATGTGGATCATGTGCTGCTTCGTCGAGACAGGAGAAACACTAAAGTCAGCTAAAGCTGCTCCAGGGAGGCAATCAAATGTGCAAATGTGTCAGGCTGAATCATGTAACTGAAGACGACCCTTGCCCAATCGTTTGGGATTGTCATGGCTCGACTCCCCCTGCAAAACGCCCAGCCATCAGCGATACCCACCCACCACACCCCACTGCGGCATGGAGCTTAAAGCGAAAGAAAAACATGAAGTGAAAAGTGAACCATTTGTGGTTCAGCCTCGTTTATGGATCTTACATAAGGTGCAAATGCGAGGCACAAACCAAGTAAAAACGATATACAACGATGACTGTGACTATAACTGGAGCAGCATTTGGGTATGGGAAATGGCAGCAGTCATCCATTCCTTTCCTGTATGCCATATCACTCAGCGGGTGCAGCACTCGAGGCTGCCGCAGTGGAAGGAGGTGCCGTAGATCCTTTGTTTCCTCTTGGCATCTGTGTGAGCGTGACAGCATAATGCCTGAGCCACGAAGGGATCTGCCATGCAGCGCGCATTGTGATGGTGCCTGGGTACCTGCTGTAGTCGCACATTTTCCGCTTTTTCCACTGCCGAGTGCCGTGCTTGTTTATCCTGGGAACCTGGGAACTATCCGAATGCTGACTCACTCCATACTCCCTACCCCTCTGTCTGTCACAAGTCTGGTTAAACATTTCGCTTTAATTTAATTGAATTTGCTCCGTGGCTGCTTTTGGTTGAACTTAATTATGTCAGTCGGCGAGCGCATTGCAACAAGCACTAAAACCCCAACGTGCCGCAATTGTTTTACGCTCCAGTAAGAGACACTCGGGCGGGGGAGGGCGCTCAGCTCGATGCACGGAAATGGGACGGACATAATTCAAATTTGAAAAATATTTCACTATTTATAGACAAGTGGCAGCTAATAAAAACTAGTATGCTAATCAATTCGAATGAGGCTGCGATTGATTATGCGCAGCTGTGTGCCAATCGAACAGCTTCCAATGTTGCTAGGCAGCCAACAAAGCCACAGAAATGTTGTCTACAAATTGTGTCTCTGATCAAAATGTTAATACCCCAGCGGAGCTGGCAAGTGTATATCCACAGCCGCAGCAGCAACAGGTTGAGCATAAATTATGATCAAAAGTTGAAGTATTTATTTTTTCAATTTCGCTTTGCTCTCTTCTGCCGCTGCCACTGCCACTTCCACTTCCACTGCTGTGGCTGCTTGCAAGGGAAATCTTTTGGGCATATGTTTCCCTCTTTCAATGTGTGCAGAACTTTCACAACACACACATTTCGGCCATTGGTCAGCAGCACAGCAACGTGCAACACATCAAGCAGCAGCAGAAGCAGTGTACGGGCTTCAGTTGGTGGTTTGTCGCCCAAGTCTTTTGTCGTTTCTAGTTCTTCTGCTCTTCTCGTCTGCTCTAAGCTGCTTATGTAACTGAAATGCTACGAAGACGAAGACGAAGACGCGCAAGTCATGGCTCAGTTTGGCAATTTCCAAAGAAATAATTCAAACACGGAGCAGAGCGGGTACCAAGAAGGATCAATCACACAGTTGATGGCTCTTCACTGAACCTTGCTTAGACCAGAATTTAGCGCATAAATAGCTTCAGATGTATTGAAATATCTGAAGCATAGATGGTTGAAATGATAGCATTAGATCCATCGCTGATCATCGCACTGGCCACCCACAGTGTCCGAAGCACTTCCGCTGCAGCAACACGTGGGCTACCCCCACCCACACCCACACACACACACACACACACCCACACCCACACACACACACACGAATCATAAACAGAGCACAAACAATATTGTCATATAAAGCATTTCCAGTTCGATTTTTGGTCAACATTTGTAGGCGCGTCTGGGGGCGTGGGGCAGTCGACGGTGGCACGTGCTAAGAGCCACATCTTCCGTTTTGACAAAGAGAGAGAGAGAGAGAGGCAGAGGTGGGTTCCCCCTAATTACTTCCTATTTTGGTCAAATTTCTGTCAATTGGCCATCGTCAATGTGGGGATTAATTAGCTTGTAAATGCCCAAAACGACAGGAAATGCCTTTGCCTCCTCTTCTGTTTTCTTCCTATGGTATGGCAGGTGTAGTCATGGCCCGAAAGCTGCCTCCAAATCCACTTCGACGGGGATCTTTCTCGCCCTTTGCTGTGTAGCCAGTGCTAATGATTAGGGAAGTGGTAAGGAAGGAATGAAAGTAGCTTCGAGGCATGGCTGGCAGTGAGTATTAGCTCTCAGCCGCAATCAATGAATATTGTCAATTATTTGTAGCCTTTCTGCGTGATTTTTCCTAGGAGTACAGCCAGTCAAGCTCTTGTTTTAGGCAGCGAAAACTGGCTGGTGGCTAGAGTTTTGGGTACTTGTGGGCCCAATGCAGCTGCTCGGACAGTTGGTTGCCCAAATCTGTGAACCGGTTTGCTCTGTGCTCCCAACTGCTCCAAATCTAATGAAGTTTTTGCCACGCCATTAGAAAGAGTGAAGGGAGTCGAGCGGGTCGCCCGAGCTCTACGTTGCCAGTGAGCGGGAATCGATAGGCTGCGGCTAGATGTGAATCCATGCCCTGCGAATGCCGTGATTCGTCGCCTGAACTCTGAACTCAGCCACAACGAAACGCGCCACTAACAAAAGGCCGCCAAAAAGTGGAAAAAGCCCAAAAATAAACGAGGCAATGGAGAAACGATTGGCGCTGGCAGGGAGACTCGGCTGGCGGGTTCTCCTCTCCGTCTGGGCCAGCCAGTCTCGGCCAGAGTTAGAGTCAGATTCAGAGTCGAAATCGAAATCGAAGTCGAAGTTGGAGCAGCAGACAAGATTTTGGCTTTTGCAGTTTTGTGGCTGTGGCCGAATGCGAAACGGGTTTGGACACACACACACACACACACACACACAGACACTCGGCGGGAAGAGTTTTGTGGCGCGACTTTTGGGCAACGGCCACTCTCTTGAGTCTCGTCGCACGCACACAGACAAGCTCAAGATCTTTGGCAAGATGGCGTCGAGTTAACCGGTTCTGGGCCTCTCTTGTTGTTATACACACTCAGCGGAGATTTTGTAGAGATATCATCAGTCAGTGTCTACCCCAACTCACACGCTCTCTCTGTTTTTGACTCTCTTGCAGGTCTTGTGGCACTTGGACGCCTTTCGACGTTCGTTTCGAGGCCTGAACCAGCATGTATGCGGCGGCCAAGACTGCATATTCTGCGCTCTAAAGGTAAGTTCGAAACAACAGAATTTTCGAAATGAACAGAGCCCACTTAGCGGGTGCACGAACCACGAGGCATTTGCTAAGCCTAGATTCGCTCTTTAATTTTAGTTATTTTTCTTACATTTAATTTGTGTTTTGTGTGTGTAATATTCAAACTAAAATTAAGTACATATTTATATTAAATAGTTAGAATGGTTAGGATGTAAGAAAATATGCGGACTGTCTGCTGTGCTGGCTCTTTATTTGCTGCCCGCTCGAAAGTATGCAGCAGGAAATTCATGACAGAAATCACCTGGAAAACGACTATGAAAACGCATTTGAGAGATCTGCTGCCAAGAAGTTTTCATTACAGTTGCTGAAAATATTATACAAATTTACAGAATTTACCCAAGCACATTTAAAGGCTTCGAATCTCATTCGCTGACAATGAATTTCGCTTCATTTTTGCACTTTCTCCGCTCCTATATTTAGTCCTATGATATTTGCACTGAAAGTAATCTTTCTCTTGGCTGTAATATCTGGCTTAAACGGAAATTAAAACAAATAAAGTAATTAAGCGCCGGGTGCCGGCCAGGGTCTGCACATTTTCCCACTCTCCTGTGCGCCCGTCTGGCATTGGATGGGATGCAGTTGAAGATTTAGATTTTCCACAGCAGATTTCTTTCACTTCGCCTTAATTGCCCAGCCAGTCAGAGTGATGGAGTGGAGGAACATGATGTCTTGGCTTGTCCGATCCCGGCAAACATTTATTCACACGCACCCACCGCTTCCCGCTCTTTTGGTTTTCCACTTTTCGTTGCTGATTTTCCCAGCCCAGACAATTGCAGCGCAGTTGAGAAAGGATGTGCAGGGGAATGCCCAAAATCCTGCAATCTGGAATCGTTTTCCCTCTCCTGTTCGGGCCTGTTATTCTGAGATCTTACCTGTAACTGGCATGTAAGGTTCACACCCCATCCACACACGGTCCTGACCGCTGCCAGGGTCACGCCCCGCACAGGACCCGCAGGACTGCGCTCCAGCGTGACGACCTTTCAACGCTCCTGCGCCGCCCAAAGAAAAAGGTGATTAATGTGCTTAGCGGCTTGCCGAATTATGCAAATGTCCATTCGAAATCCTTCTGAGGAGTCAATAAACTCTGCTCCCCCGTCCAGGCATCGGGTGGGACTCCTACAACGAGAATTTCCATAAAGTGGAAAAACTGAATACAGAAAACGAGTCGCTGCCGTGTTGGAGTCACCCTCTCAATGTTTGTGCAAGCCAAGAAAACCAGACCAGAAGACGATCATCATCATTATCATTAGCCAGAGGGAAAGAAAGAAAGAGGCAGAGAGAGAGAGAGAGCGTGATAGAGAGAGACAGCAGAAGATGCTGCTGCTGTTGGGTTGAGGAGCATCTTCCATGGTTAGGCCGCTGTGGGCAAGCGACACACTCGTGACGTTCGGGAAAAACTCAGTTAACGTCAAGACAAAAGGCAACGGACGTGACTGTACTTTTGAGCAACGTTTCACAGGGTGTTCCCGGCACTGCCGCCGCTTGCTCTCTCACTGTTCTCTCTCTCTCTCTCTCTCTCTCTCTCTCATTGATGACGTCGTTCTACCAACGACGACGACGAAGTGGAAAGTGTTGGCCGCTGGTGCTGCTAGTTTCTTCTTTGGTCGCTTCTTTTTTTAGTTTTGTTTTTGTTTGCCTGTTTTGTTTTGACTGCTTTGAACGCTTTGTTAGCCGCCCCCCAACCCACACTGCCCACGTCTCGGGTTGCCATAGTGTAGTCGCCCCCCCTGCCACTTGTTTGCGACACACACACACACAGGCAGGGTTGCCAGAGAAGCCGCTGCGAAGTGGTTGGGTGTGGGCTGGGGCTTTGGGAGGAGCAAAGACTTTTGTCTTTTTGCATTAATTATGCTTGGTTCTTGGTTGTGGATTCTCGGTCGCTTCCCGGTTCCCGGTTCCCGGTTCTCGTTTCTTTGGGTGTCTCTTTTTGGCCCTGCCACTTGTCGCTGCTCGCTTGAGTGGAGTCGCTCTTGGGTTAAATTAATTTTGCTTCCACCACCAACGCTGCAGCTAGTGGTCGTAGCAGCCCGCGGGAAAGACAGGGCAAAGACTATTTAATTATGAAAATCGTCAGAGTGGGAGTTTGACTAAGAAAAGCAGAAGACATTGGCCCCTTTTGGTGGGAAACTCCCACGATTGCGATCGCTTTGACCGTTTCCCGCTCGTTGATTGTGTTTCACTTTATATGCTTCACTTCAGAATGGTATTGGGTGGAGTGGGAAGCAGAAGAAACAGTTCTTGATGAGCAAACGTCGCGACATCATCTGGCCATGCCTCAATGCACAATTCCCATCGAGAATCCTGCTGCAAAATCGAAGCAAAGACAGTGACAAAGCGAGGACAAAGTCATTATGGAAGCCAGACAATGCCAGCAGGTCCTCTTCTCGGGAAAGAGCCCTTTGTCCACAGATCAATCTCAACGATCATGCAGAGGTAGATACAATTCATAGATACTCGCAATGATGAGGCAGATGCATGGATAGATGGATGATCGTGTGCCACTTTGATAAGCACTCTCCTGAAGCGCTCTCCAGCTCCAGCTCCCGCTCCATCCACCATTTCCATCGCGCACTCTTATCGCTTGTCTTCCCCCTCTAAGCTTTGTTTGCTCTTTGTCCACATGGATACTCCAGATTTTGTTCTGGTGTTCTGTGTTCTGTGGGTTCGCTTTAATCTCGAACGTATCTAAGTAAGTGCAAACAACGTTTCTGCTCTTTTCGAGAGAGTGCAGCCTTTGATGCATTTTGTGGCTCTTCTTGGGTTATTTTTTTCGGGTTTATTGTTTGCTCTGCTCAAGCGGCCATAAAAACGAAATTAACATGAACAAAGGTGGGCCCAGTGGAGTGGGGCGGGGCGTTGCGGCGAATCGTTGGGCACGAGCAGGGTAGAACAGGTGCTAATGGGTCCCAGAGTGCGGACTAATTGAAATGCCCATCAGATCCACAACCCATTTACATCTCCATCCACAACTTCCACAAGTTGAATGAATCACTTTTCCCCAAGATCAGATACTCGACTGCCGCTTTAGCTTGCTCTTCCACTTTATTATTAAATTCATTTTGATTTCTGTGTTTTTTTACCTCGAATTTATGCACGCGACGTGCCATCTGAAGGTTGCTTTTAAAGACCCATACTTCCATACCATAATCTATTCAACTCTGAAGAGAAATTCAATCAAACTCTGTCACAGAACTCTGTCATCAATTATTCGATAGTTTTCCTGGTCCATGGGTTATTCCTTTTGTCGTTTTGGATGGTATCTACAAAACTCTTCAGACCAATCCATCAAAATAGTTTGCCTCTTGTGCGGTGAGGAGAAATAAATTGAATTAATATGAAAGAAAGATATTCTACACCGATGAACAGTGGAGCATATTATTATCGCTGATCTTTTACTCATTATTAGTGGTATATTTCTACCTTGTTAATGATTAACATTTAAGTTCTTTAACTCTTGGAATTACTTTTCTATTCCATCACCCACTCTCCCTATTGCTGTCAGACGCCACTGTGGCTCGCGCTGTCCAATCAATCAATTTTACAACGATGCAAACACAGAGACAGCCACAGTTACAGTCCCTGCATGAGTCATGCAGCGAACACGAGCCCAAGCCCGAACCCGATTCCAACTCCAACTTGAACTGCCGCTCAAGTTGCAGCTTCTTCGCCTTAGCTGTCGCCCAGCTTTGAGTCATGAAAATAGAAGTGTTCAAGCTCAGACACCTAAAAATACGAGCGAAAGGCTAAATGGAGACGTTGTTGTGAACTTTGTTCGCATTCAGAGCTTTTCTGGCGAGTACTTCATACCGATTGATACAATTGGAGCTTCAGAATGGAGTGTTGGCTTGCAACAAAACACATGGAGCTGCATGTGACACACATTTTGGCAATTTCAAGATCATGTACATTCATATGTGTGCATGTCTAATTTTTGGGGCTCGCGCTCCCTTTAATGCGCAAACGTCTCATGAAGATAATAATATCTTGCGCAAGAGTGTATTCAGATACAAATACCGAGTGCAAGGAGAGGAGAGTGCATCTTCCCTGTTTTTGTTGGTGTATGTGTCCGACATGCATGTCGGAGTGGCAGAGCGGGATAACCAACAGTGACACGATAACGTGCATTGGAACGTGGCTTACTTTTCCCCACTTTAAAATCCCTCTTTCCCCCCCTCCGCAGCCGCTTAATCTGAAGATATAAAATTAAATTTTGGTACCCTCGTGTTTTGTGTGTCTTTTATTATCGGTTTCGTTTTTGATGCTCCCTCGCTCGTTGTTTTTGTGGGTGAACCTTGGGCATTGATGTTTTTTTGTTGTCGTTGGAGTCGGTTCAATTTATTTGGGATTTTCTTGTGAATTTCAGCGGGTTGCTGGGCAGCGGTGATATTTAGTGCGTCACTGACATGCGGTAATAGTTGCTCGTGTTTCCGCTTACAGCTCTGAGTCACTGTCTTGAGCTTAAGTTTGAGTTGGAGTTGGAGTCTGACTTCTGCCATCTTCCAACTCAAACCATGGCCACAGACGACTCCAAAAGCTTGGGCACAAAACGGGTTCTACGGCTATTATCTAAGTTTTAAGATGATTGGTACAATTCTACTTGCTGATCCTGATGCCACTTCATTTGCTGCCCGTTCTAGTTCCCGCTCGCCGTTTTCTTTTTTCATCTGCTGGTTGCATTTGTCATTTGAATTAAGGCAAATCTCGGCAGCCAAGCACAGGGTGACTCCTGTCGCACAAACGCACAAAGAGTGGCTGAGAGAGCCAGAGAGCTGAGAGAGAGCGACATGCAGACTTGTCGTTTACCTGCTCACCCAAGACATTTACCTGTTTGCCCTACTACAAGACAAACTCCCCCTGTTTTGGTGTTCGTTTCGTGTTCGGTTCGGCTCAGAGTTTGCTCAGGTGAGCGCGGCCAGCAAGTCGATGGTTGTAGTTGTTGTTGTTGTTGCCAGAAG